ACATGTAAAAGCAAAATTGGAGCTGGCTTTATCTATTGGTGTTATCACAAAGTGTCTTTTCAACTTATGTAATGCTTCTTCGCTATAGTTATCTTTTTCTACCAAATCCTCGTCATAAATTTTATACATTCTATTGCAGATTTTCCTCTTGAAAACGTGTTTAATCTCATTTATTAGTATTGGCACTATAGTGCTATCAAATTTTAAAACATTTCTATACTTCTCTACCATGTCTTTGATCAAGCTAGCAATCGCTTCATCAACATCATGTCTAATAACTATGTTATTCTTTCTATACTTGAATCCTTTTCTGAAGAGTTCGCGTAGCTGGGGATCTCCAACTATATTCAAATCACCAGTACATACATGTTCTAAATCGGCTTTCACAAACTCCGTGTATCTATGGCATATACACTCTCCTTTGACAATCTTCTCTACTTCTTTAGATTCAATTCTTTTTAAGAAGTTGTTATAGTTACACAGTCTCAGACCTATAGGTTCTTGTAACTTATATCGTATAGATACTTTGTAATCTTTCAGCTTATTTATTGTGTTGGGTAGACTAGTAGCCAGAATTCTAACTTCTTTCCCATTGCATATTCTATTCAACTTCAATCTTTCTAAGAATCTGCCCAAGTACGGTATTGTTACTGTTATGTCTTTGTAACTAATACTGTTTCTTGTATTTTTGCCCCAAAAAGGTTTTGCCAGTAAAGCATAAACTTTCATCTGCAGATCCGTACTGTGGGAATGAAATTTGGAATCAAATGCAATTCCAATGAGTCTGTCTATATCATATTTGTTAAGGCTCCTAAAATATTTGTACAGATTGTAGGTGTTGAGCCGATCTATAGTACTTATGATCTCTTCTGTTCTATCTGGGCAACTTTTCTTTTTTCTAGAGCGTCTTCTTTGTCCTCTTTTCCTTTTTCTAGTGATTGTGTACCTAAAGTATGGATGTTCTCTTTTCTCCAATGGTATAATGCCATTTGAAATATTTCCATATCCTTTGATTTGATCATTGAAGCCGAAAGGATAAGCAGTAATTAATAGTTTGATCCATTTGTGCTCCTTGTCTCTGAGTTCCCTTTTTGTCATTTCTTTGTTACTATCTTCCGCAAAATCTAGTATATCTGTGCTATAACCCGAAGGGGGTGTCTTGTTGTTTTGAAATGTTCCACCATATAGGTATTAAGATTATTTTTTCGAAAACTTCTGTCATGTTGGCCAATGCGTGACCTTAACTGCTGAGTAGTTTCACCTACATACTGCATTCCACATGTGGAGCAAGTGATAAGATAAACTACATTTCTTGTCTCACAATTTGCTAAATTCGGTTTATTAGTATTTATGTAGTAGTTCGTAGTAGCACTTTTAACTTTATCTTGGAAATTGAGCTTATCACATACCCTACACTTATTCCTTCTGCATCTTGTTCCGATATTATTATTGGATTCAGGAATTCTGGCTATTCTCATATGTCCGTCTAGGTTACTATTAGACCTGGACCACATTAAACACAGAGTGTCTGAGTTATTGTTTTTGTTAGCAGACCTGAATCCATCGAGTCAGAGGCGGTCTCTCCTGGACCCTTATGCGGTTTCCTTATCGGAGGGTATTTCCTCCTTGGCTAGGGCAAGCCTCTTCATCGCTGGGGAGCGCTACCCGTGGTGCAAACCGCATTGGATATTAAATGCCCAACACCACGCCAGGGTTCTCCCGAACTTATAAACTAATTGTATAACTTTATTGTGAAAAAGCACAGCGATAAGATAATTACTAATTATTTGGAATTTTTATAATGCAATTTACCAATTGTGTTCGCTATTCACTATAGTGTTATGTAATGTTATACAATTGATGTTATCTTAGTGTTATTACTATTATGTTGTTCAGGTATAACTCCTTTCTTAGATTTTGTAACTCCCACATTTGTGTTAGTTTACTATTGATGATTATTCTAATCCTCTAATTGTAATAGAATGCATAAAAATATATTTTTGAAAGAGTAAATGTAACAAAATATATATTCTTAGGAACTATGGAATGAACTTAAACTATTGTAAAAGGTAGATAATAGAGATAGCTTAAGCACAAGTAATTATTGGAACATGGACTACGCTGTTATTTATTTGCGAATGACTGGACTGTTTAGTATACATTGTGGATGGTTTCTAGAAATTATTTGAAGAAAGCGTTGCTGTAGCCCATCGAAAGGCCTTAAACCTTCCCTAGCTCTTAATGCTAGGGGATGGGGCAGCGATCAAATAGTTTGCTTTAATGTTACCTATCCATGTTCAACATAAGTCGTGCTTACCTTGATGTAAGTATTTGATGAGTGAGGAGGGCAACGAAATGAATCTTGTTTGTATTCTCTATGGTACCATTGTAACTAACAGTTTGTAATTAATCAGGTGTAAATGAGATGAGTCATGGTTGATATTGCCACTATTATATTATTATATTGAGTTCCTACACAATATTAACTTGTAAAATATAGCCGCACCCTTCAAAAGGTCATAAACCTCCCTTAACTCTTGATGTTAGGGGATGGCGGCACTTATGATCGATTATATACAAGTCCCACCTTTGCTAAGCAGGTATGTTTTCCTCATCTTATACTATAATAAAGTGAACTTTTATACTGTAATAAGCGAAAGTTGTTAATTCCTTATGTCAGTGATCCATTCCCGCCTAATTTGAGAACCAATATTGACCTACATCAGGCGGGTTAAACAGAAATAAATAGGGATGAGGAATGGTATACTTATTATTCACTATGTCCGACGTCCGTTCTACTGTGGTCTCTACCCTAAACTCGATACTAGCCCCCGAGAATAACCTCAACTCGCCACTATCAACTGCACTAATGTCTCTGGGCAGTGCGATAGACCAGCTCCACATACAGCATGACAAAATGGAGAAAGAAGTAGAGTTGGTACGTCGCATGTCCAGGACTAACTGGATGATGGTAAGTAACCTAGGATTGTAACACCATAAATGTACTGAGTATTTAGATAATTAACCTTCCCCTCCCATTCGGAGTGACGAAGTCCCAAGCCATTCAAAATCTATTCGATCAGCTCGGGTACACTAAACCATTATTTGACAGTGAAAGAGATTTACTTGCCTGCGATATACTATATGTAAGTTCCTTGCCACCTGGCTATACGGAGATGAAAGATATACGATATTTCAATGACTTTGAAATCTTTGAGGTGCTTCGGAAATGGCCTCCATCTAGGTCGTTCACACCGGATGGCATTCCGCTGCATTTCATCAAAGCGGCGGCCCATGTAATCTCTAAACCACTCCAATACATATTCAATTTGAGCTTAATAAAATCTGAAATTCCTGAACGATGGAAGATCTCTTTCGTAACTCCTATAACAAAGAAGAAACCCTATACATGCCTATCCAATTATCGACCTGTGAGCATAACATCGATTTTTTCGAGACTTTTTCAAAAACTAATCAAAAAACAGATAGTTAATCATCTACAAAAACAAAATATAATTCCCACTGCCCAACATGGTTTCCAAGAGGGCAGATCCACCGTTACTTGTATGTTGTATTCGCTAAATGATTGGACCCATTCGTTGGATTCTGGGCAAAGTATTCATGTTGTTTATCTTGATTTCACGAAAGCTTTTGACAAGGTTTCACATACAAAACTTGCAGTCAAACTCAAACAAGTTGGTATCCATCCTATTTTGGTTTCCTGGATCTCCGCTTTTTTATCCAATCGCAAATTTTCGGTTCACGTTAATAAGACGTTCTCTCGCTTCAGAATGATGTCTAGTGGCGTGCCACAGGGAGGCGTACTATCTCCAATACTCTTTAACATCTATACTCATGAACTTCCTTCTCTTGTTTCCAGAGCAGGAGTGTTCTGTTGTAGTTTTGCTGATGATTTCAAAATCTATAAAACAATCACAACAATGGCAGATAAGGCTACGCTGCAAGAAGCTCTAAATATCGTTTTTGAATGGTCGAAAACATGGAACTTGCCAATCTCTCGTGAAAAAACAAAAGTTCTTCACATTGGACCTGGAGATTTGGACTATCAGTATCAAATAGAAGGAGAAATTCTGGAGTATGTTGATGAGATTCGAGATCTCGGCTTTCTGGTCTGTAGCAATCTCAGCTTTGATAAACATTGTGAAACTATTGCTGCGAAGGGCAATGCAGCCGTACACAACTTATTCCGTGCTTTATCAAGTAGTGATCCAGCCCTCCTTATCAGAGCTTATAAAGTCTACATTAGACCTCTACTTGAGTACGGCACGGTAGTATTCAGTCCCACGAAAGTCAGCTCTATACGGACCCTTGAGAAAGTGCAGAATAGTTTTCCTAGAAAACTATGGATCCGAACCAAAGGGCTTGACTATGATGAAATAGTTGATGGCAATCGGCGTAATAAAAACTTTGGATTAAATAGTTTAGCTTTCAGGAGAAGGGTATTTGACCTTATTACAGCACACAAAATCTTGTTCAAAGAGTATCAGGTCAATCCCTCGGACTTTTTCCAAATGAGGCGCTCAAGAACGAGAGGAGGGCCAATGCAGATAGTGGTGCCTAGAGCGAGAAGGAATGTGAGGAGAAGGTTTTTTTGTTAATAGAGTAAGCAGTGATCTTGATAAGCTAATGAGGAAGGGAATGCTCCATTATAAGCTTTCACAGTTCAAAGCAGTCCTGAAGAACTATCTAATTTCTCCATGAATCTGCAGTAGGATGTTTTGATATGTTATTGTTACTAACACTTTTGGTTCATTGTCATTCGAATATTTTGTTGATATTGCTGTTTTGTTCTTTTTTTGTTGATAATGCTGTTTTGTCAACATAGGGTAGCCTATGTAATAAATAATAAATAATAATAATCTCTTCACTCCCGCCTGACTATACGCTTAAAGCTAAAACGCCTCCCCTTCTTTTTTCTAACCCAATATTTGCGTCCTACTAGAGAATAGCCATGAAGCTTTACTTGCATACATAAATTCGAAAATCGCATAGTTTATCAACTCATAATAATAACAATAACAAATCAAGCTTCGCTAATAAACTATATTCATTAACATGCATTGAAGAAAGTTTACATAGAATCTATCCCCGTCTTCAAATTTTAAATGAAGTTTATTATAATGTTATTAATAGTTTTTATGTTCAAGTCCACTGGGCCTTCTTTATTGCACTATAATCTTCTTGAATTTTTCGCCGACTGATGCCAGATAGCTGGACTGCAGTGCACGCTCAAGATCCGCTAGCTGGGCTACGGAGACAGCCAGCTGAGGAGCGTGGCCCTCGAAGGTGGTAACTAAAACAGAAAATTTGCATTTTGCGTTAACCAGGTAATACGGTACTCTCTACCATTCTGTCTCTTTGCTCCATAGACAATCTTTCCATCGAACTCATCAACTGGAACTCGGAAGTCTTGATCTACTACGGCGATGGTCTGGCCCAAATGCTCTTCGATATCGGCAAGGAGCTGAAAAAGAGCATACGCGAAATGTAGAGAGTAAGCCAAGGTAAAATAAAGCATACAAAAAGATGGTTCTTGCAGATGATAGCATAAGAACTACCTTTGGTTCATTATACCATATCGTACAGCCACCCTCCGACAAATCTCTAGTATTTCGACATCTGGGATTTCCACACTTATGATACCAAACTTTCTCTTGCTGAGTAGACACCAATGAGATGGATAGCCCCATTCTGAAGCAATGCATTTACTAGCGCTCTTCGGAATCGAACGGAGCTGTAAATACACAAAAATGAACCTTTCAGCTCGACCGACACGTCCAATGCGATGCACATACTGAGGAGCTTCGTCAGGTAATGTGACGTTTATCACTAAATTTTATCAATTAGCAACAGATCATAATTTCACGACAGAAGGGACAAAAGATTTTTTGAGTGAAGATGGGTGGCAAATGCCACAGTCCGAAAAAAAATTTTCTGGGATTCTTCGCAAGATTTTCGTGGGCCCATAACGGCAAAACTTCAGAAGGGGCGTGGCTGTGGTACCAACCTCGCACCGCCACCCCCCTCGGTTCGCACAGCTTCACGACTCTGATCTAATTATTCTTAGCACCGTCCAGCGCAAATATGTAAGATAGTCCAAGAATCTTACAGAATGGAACACCGCCGATATCGATACCACGGGCAGCAACATCGGTGCACACGAGGAACGGCTTCGTCTTTGCCTGGAAAAAAAGAATGATGTTTCTTATGATGTTGCAAGAAATCTGTCGCTTCAATGGTAAGAAAATTTTGAAATATAAGCCAGACTAACCTTGAAATCGGCCAACGCCTGCGATCGCTCTCTCGGAGACCTGTCACCATGCAGGCAGACGGCGGCATAGTCTAAAAAATGCATGCTTACTCTAAATAAAGCTGGAACAACCATATCAAGACTTGGAAACGTGCGGAAATTGAAAGCTCACTATTTCGAAGCAAATAAGCCTCCATGTCATCACATTGCTGCTTCGTTCGACAGAATACAATACACTGTTCCATTTTCAAAGCTTCAATGGCCTACAGATGAAAGAATTGAAATAAAAGTCGAAATTAATAATCCATTACTACCTTGAGTACATATACTCCTTTCAAGATCTTTGTTCCCAAGGATATCGTATTCTTATCGTTCGTGTTCAGCCGGATATTGTCGTGCTCGTGTACGAGATCGTGCTGGAAACGGTATATTCAAGGGAGATAAGCCAGAAAAGAATAATGAACAACAATGTTTCACATATGAAAAGTAGAGGAACTCTTCAATGGGCTTTGGCAGCACCCTCAATGGCAGTGGATAGGCAAAATGGACCCTAGTCATTTTAGCAGCGTTGGGTAGTGACCTCTCCCTTTAAGTACATCGAAGCCCCAACCACACCCTCCTACTCGTGCGCTGAGTCCTGAAAATGCGCTCTAACACTTCACCAGTTCCGCCCACTTACAGAGTAGGCGTCATTAGTGGAGTTTTAAAGCCCATTTTCAGACTCAGCGCACGAATTGGAGGGTTTCGGGGGCTGGGGCTACAGTAGTCTGAAGGAAGTCCATTTTGCCGATCCACTGAATTGGAGCAATAAGAAGGTAAAAGGGATAAAAAAAGACATATTATGAGTAAACGATATTTGCCAAAAAATAAATTACTTCCCGCCAGCGCTTACCCAAATGAGAAACTCTTCAAACGCAAACATACTGTTAAATAGATAGATAATGTGACCTACCTGTAAATGATTGGGACTATGCATGATCCTAATCCACTGCTTGTCATTAATGGGATCCACCCAGCACACAACATGATGTACTGTCTCAGCCACACTATCCATACCTTTCAGATCAATCCACTGCGGGAAGTTCATATACTTATCCTAAATGTAGCAATTGCAAAGTCCACAGTTTTGTCTTCATTTCATCAGTCCGAGAAAAGGCCATCGTGTACGCGGGAAATGAAGATAACGAGGGACTTACAGCAAACTGGGTGATCTGCATGTTATGCAATGTGGCCGAGCATGCAATCACTTGTAGCCGAACTCCATTTGAAGCTACCGTGGGGATTTTGGAAAGAAACCGTTCAAGTTGTTGTTTAAAAGATGAGAGGATTTGATCCTGAAAAAGGATTTCATTTACTCCATCCCTTGCATTTGACAACGTGTCGTGATTTTAAGAAAGTCGAAATTCTGTCACGGTATGAAACTAAGGAACTCACCGCCTCATCAATGACGATGAAATTCAGTGCACTCGTAGACAACTTGCGCGTCTCAATCATATCCAAAATGCGTCCAACGCCTCCAGTGACAATGTCGACGCCTTTATCAAGCTCTTGTAACAATTGCGACATATTCATTCCAGCTGCAAGTGACACACATCTGTAAAGCGAACTCGTTATAACTATCCATAACAAAGCCAGCACCAAATTTACCTAATTTTCGGATCGCTCACATTCTTCGAGAATTTCACTAAATTTTCATGAGTTTGTTCGATCAACTCTTTTGTTGGTTCCAAAACAATGCAAACAGGGGCGGCAGTCGGTTCCTTCCCTCGACTTTCCATTTCTAGACCGCGCCATTCAGTCAAAGCAGATTCAGCTTTACCCACCGCAATGAATCCCTAGATAAACTTAATAATTTTCGTAAACATAGATAGAATCCCGAATGAGAGAAATTGCGTTTTTATAGCCATATCAAAGCGTCCAGACACCCTACGAAAAGTTCGAAAAAATTATTAGTTGCACAACAGCTCGTTTTTACAAGCTATACTCACATCCTTTGGAGGAAAAGCGAATGGCGTATCGCCGAAGTTGAGTTGCAATGATGAGTTCTGCACTAACACAGCCGGATGCAATGCTGCATGTGGACTTGAATATTTGGCATCCAGTCGGAACGCAATCTCAAATTCTTTGCCGTTTTTGGACCACCTGTAGAAAACAGGAGCTACAGTAAAAAGTAACTGACGAGTGAGTTATGTAGCTTACCAGATTCTCCCATTATCCAAGTCCAAGTAGCAACCCATGACATCTCCCGTTGTGAAAGATTCACCATATTTCTCGAATTTTCGCTGGGTACTCTTCATTCCCGTACCACCGAACCCAAAACTTTCGTCCTCCGCACCTGAATGACAACAAACACACTTAGGCGCAGGTATGCCATCTTCCATACACCAATCGACCTACCCAGATCAAGTGAGGCTCTCAGCGTAGACCATCCGACGCGGCATAAGCCATCTCGAGTAATCTTCGCCTCGTAATAGTACTTTCCTATGATGTATGAGATATCTAGAGAATAAAACTTAAAGTATGAGCAAACTAACCTCTAGTGTGTACTCCGCCCATACATCGTGCTCCGAACCAAGATTTGGGCACACGGCTCTCACAAGACAAGCCATCTTGACTCAAAGCGAGCCCCATGGCTCGATCTGCCAGGTTCAGTCGCCAACCGACAGCTGAAGATAACGCAGAACTTTGCTGCAATCAACGAGCAGTAATTAGACAAAACGCACCTGATTTTCCGCCGGGCTGCGCATTCATTACATCTTTCCGTCGCTCCCATACGATCTGTACAACTGGTAATGAGAACGCACCAGTCTTACCGCTACCAGTTTCGGCAGCCTAAAAGCCATATATGAAGAGATCAACAAGAAACGACATTCATAGAAATAACAGCTAGACAATATTTGAAGTCTAGGAACTCACAATAAGGACATCGCCGCCTCCGAGTATCGCAGGGATAGCATCGGACTGAATAGGTGTTGGCAGCCTAAACTAAGCACGTATACAAGAGAAATTATCGCCCAGAAACTGAGCTGAGCCTGCAGTCTTTTTATGTATAAGATAGCTAACTCAGTTCCTGCTATCGTTGACCTCGTAGTTTCCGTATACCCGAGCACTTTATTCAAGCTTCCCGAAAATAAGTCACGCTAACGAAATTTGGCATGGGTCATATGAGAAATGCAGCGAATCAAAGCTGATTCATGGAACAACGCCATTATGAACGTTCAACCTACAGCTCTAGAAGTTGAGAAATTATGAAAACTAAAACGACTTACTCCCATCCCAAGTCGGATACAGCATCGCCAAGTTCAGGTATGATGCCGAACTCTTCGAAAGCTGTCATAGCGGACTAAAAGATATTTTTCTCATATGAACCAGAGTAAGCAGCGGAGATTCGGTGCTTCAAGATAATCAGATACGGAGATGAGCGTACATCTTGTCATCAAAAGCCACAGCAAAACATATTAATTTATTTACTGAAATATACACTATGTACAAAGGGGAACACAAACAACAAAAAAAAAACAGAAAATTGAGGCATAATGCGCCACTGACCCACAATTCAGAACTGCAGAAGCGATAACAAGAATTTCAGTCAATTTGCCACATCGGCATAGATGGTTCGAAAACCTAACCGCAATTCGCATTGTCTGCACTCAATACGTTGCATCATTACGATTGGCCAAAAACCGTTCAGGCAGGGAGCAGTTTCGCCACGCAAACATGTCACAATATGTAAACGAGAGAAAATTACATTTGTTTACAGTGTTCGTGCACTACCTGATTGGTAGTGATCATGATAGGTTAACAAAATCAACAACTCAAAAATGAAACTGTGATGATAAAGAGAGCTCACGGTCTCTCCATAAGTCACTGAAGATCACCGCACGGACTCAGCTTCAAGACTGTTCTGCTTCTTCGACTTCTGCTTGTTCTTTTTCACGCAGGGCTAAAGCCAGCTCTTCGCGCTTGATGCAAAGGCGCCTCTTTTCCGCCATAATTTCATCAGCAATCTTCTTTAAATGATCGTCTTCTATCTAAACATGAAAATAGCAAATAAGCAAATGGCTGTGCCCAACCTTGATTTTTCTGAGCATCCTGGTACGTCTGGCTGTTGTAGAATCAGGACGATTCTGCGGTTTTCTTTTGAGCCTGGCATTAGGTTCAGGATTTTCCGGCATAGCTGTAAAGTGAAATTGCGAGTGAACGGACTATGTTCTTAGCAGATGTTTTGTCTTGTTTTTGCAACCGATATTCAAAGTGCAGAAGCGTGGAACGGATACAACCATGAAAACAATTTTCACTTCATTAAACACTTAAAACTTCATTTTGACTTCCGCAATATGCCAAGAAAAAAATGAGAAGTACACTGAGATATGATTCGTTACAATGCTCCAGTGAATGATGCAAATAATTTTGCATGAACTTGGGAAGTAATCAAATCCGCGAACACTCTGCAAATTAATCAACCTATTCAATTCTCGCCAACCCGCTACGTACATACGAGGAAAACTGATAATTCAAATAACTTTGTGCGCTCTAAAACTGACAGCGACAAAAATAAGAAGATGAGTGACTGATTGCAGCATTATAATAACCAAAAACAACAAAATCAGCAATAAGAAGTATAAGTGAGATCAGCAGCTATGATCGGATATAGAGCAAGATAAGAATATTTAAAACCTTCAACAAAAACAGCAAAGCAACAGAAACGGAAGAAAGATAAATAAACGTACTATTACCCGTTTCCCATAGGTAATGACTTTGATCCAAAGATGAGACTACTCCAAGGTGATGCACTCCTCTTTGTCATCGAGTTTTCGCTTTTTTGCAGGTTTAGGCAGCGCTCCAGAACTAGATGATGTGCATTTCATCATAATCTGTACCTGTTGAGCACGTTCACCTCTTGGTCCACTCACGATATAACTGCAAAACAGCAACGATTATCTTGCTTTCAAGAACTTGTCACCAAAAATCACCAACCTATGAATCGCATAGGGTGTAAAATGGAAGTCCTGTTTCAAGTATCCTTCGAGGAGACCATGACACAAAGCTCCTTCGATCAACTCCTGAAGGCAGAGTACAGTTCTTTTACAAACTCTACACTCCAAGTCACAACATGATAGCCTATGTAAAGCGATCAAAAGCGCTAACCTTCGACCCAAGACGTTGCTTGCAAGCAAGCTCCACAAGTTTTGCGCCAGTTATACGATTTGAACCTTTGTCATTGGATTTTTGCTGGAATGGTTTGATATCAGAAAAAGCAAATTGTCAGCCAGTAAGCTTCGTTCCTGCGCTACACCGTTCTACCAATGATAACGCATATCAAAGGCGTTATAATTGAAGTTAGATTTGAAAAAGAACTTGAGATTCTCATCATCACAACACCCTCACCTCTCGTATAATCTTGAGCATTGCTCTGATGACTGTCGTAATATCCACATCTGCAGCTTCTGAGGCATTTGCGCAAACATCACATGCTTTTGGACACAGCTCATTTTTCCACTTTTCTTCAAAATGATCCGCAAGGTGCTTCCGTCGACATTCACCAGGCTAGAAACTGATGTTCTTGGTGTTTTCGTGCTGCCGCATCTACAAGCTAGAAAACATACAGTGGTTGCATAGCGAACGATCGAGTAAAGGTTCCTCAATCCTGTGCGCTCGGTGCAGACCATTGTACTCTGCCGAAATACGTCAGCAAGTCGGAAGAAGAGAATGCAAATGGCCGGTCTGCCATCTCTGCCAGCACGCCCACTTTCCTGAAATGTCGCTTTAGCTAGAAATCATCTGTTACAAGAATACCGAAAAGGTCTAAAATAAACAACTGTTCAACTCAATCCGTTAACTTTTATGACAACGAATCAAACTAAATTGTCTTCAAAGTAATAACTGTCTCAACTGTCAGAGAGCCAAAACTGAGAACGCTGATAACGATCGCGCATAGGAAATCAGCATAGTATTTATACCGCGAAAAGCAATATGACGCAAATAATATGGAAAGCTCTCTTATCAGAACAAGACAGAAAAGTGTAACAAGAAAACCACATAAGAACTGAACTTAAAAAGCTCTAACCTGGAAGTAATTTTCAACAGATTTCGGTAGCGCATGATGGATGACGTATCTTACATCCGGCTTGTCAATCCCCATTCCTGTGGAAAAAGCGGATATTTCGGAATACTTGCTCTAGCATCACTTACCGAAGGCTACAGTCGCAACAATCACATTGTACTTCCCGCTAACCCACTTTTCATGTACAGCAGTCCGTCGTGCTGAATCCATATCAGCATGATAGAAGGCCGCACGAACACCACTGTTTCTGAATAGCGAGGATGAGAGCACGGAAGTCTAACGAATACAAACGAAAAACTCAAAAATGTTGGCACAATGAACCAAGCATACCGCAGTTTCAACGCGACTTCCTCACAATCCTTTCTCGAAAAACAGTAAACAATCCCGGACTGATCGGGGAATCTGGAAATAAATTTCTTCGTTTGAATTGAGCGCCCATATACTCAGGCGAAGAAAAAGTACCAAAAATGTGTTTTACAAAAGCAAAGGCCAACATTCACAAAAGTCTAAGCAGCACGTAAATCAACGCACCTCTTTTTGATGAGCCTAGCGAGCTCATCTCCAAGATCAGCGTCTACCTTCGGCAGCACCTCGTAAAAGAGATTGGTACGATTGAAGCCAGCTTTGAAGACAACCGCGTCTGAAAGAGATTGCCCTTCGACCATGAAAACAAGAAAAAAGTTTGTGTTCGTCTAAGATGAGTCAGTCTGAAATTATGCATACGAGGGAGAAACGCGGCGCGGGGGGGGGGGGATACGGATTGTCCCGGAGTAACAACAAGCATCACAATTTGCTTACCAGGTATGTCCAGCATGTTTTTCACATCGGAAAGCACGTCAGCAGTGGCTGTAGCAGTCAGACCCAACAAGGGAATGTTTGGGAACTGTCGCTTGAGAATGTTCAGAAACTTGTAGTCAGGCCGAAAATCATGACCCCATTGTGAGCAACAGTGAACTTCGTCGATGGCAAAGACCCAAAATTTTGCGAGTGAATGATTGAGAATTTGTAGTATCCAATACAATGATTACTTTCAAAGTTCCAATCTCAGCGGATTTCTCCAGCTTGTTCATAAGCCTTTTGCTTTTCGCTAGCTTCTCAGGGGTAATGTAAAGCAGGCGAAGGGGAGAGTTTGCCTGGACGATCTGGGCTTCTATTCGCTTGACCTAAAAATTCAAGATGATCCAAACATAAGATGTCGAAAGCTCACTAACATCTTCCTTGGGTGTCGACTGATTCAGAGCTGCTCCTTCTACTTGTAACTTTCGCAAAGCAGCAAGTTGATCCTCTATCAGGGAGATCAGTGGTGAGACCACAACAATTAAACCTAAAACAAATGAGTTTTTATTAATCTATTCAGCGCAATCCCGAATGATTTAGTAGAACAGAGCTGAGTTGCGAGTATTTTAGGTGGATTCAAAGACATATCCAAGCAACTGTGAACCTGGACATCTTATGTGAACACCGATTGGGAAACATTAACTAAACGTTCAACCAGCAGCTCAAGTGATTCATAAGATTTAACTCCAAACTTTCGCCCAATACCGTACCCTAAACACATGTTCGCACGGAAAGCATACGGTAAGTGCAAGTGTTTGAGTTTTCGGTCGTGAATGAAATAGTTTAGATGCAGTTGTGCAAGGTTAGATTTCGTGAGTAGTGCAGGTAAGAAGTACAAGTACCTGATTCGTCTGTACTTCGCCCAGACTTTGTCCCTATAGTGGAGAAGAAGCTTACCTTTCATAGCTAAAGCAGGAAGCTGATAGCAAAGGCTTTTGCCAGCGCCAGTGCTCATCACTACGAGCGTATCGAATCCAGACATGATGGCATTGATAGCTTCTCGTTGGAGAGGACGAAATGAGTCGAGGTGAAAAATCTAACACAAAAAAAACTAGCTTTGCAATGTGACAATAGCTCTCGTTAGACCATTTTGTCTGATGTAAGCCAATACTAACTACCTTTCTCAATATCGAATCCACCTCATCAGACCATGAAAACGTCCCGTCAAACTTTGTGCTAGCAATTTTTTCAGCCTTCTCTGCATGTCGTATCTCCAGATTAAATTCTATCTGTAACATATATGTAAGCAGGTACAAACCTACATTTACTCCATACAGTAAAAGCTCACCTCACCTCAGCCTTCCGCTGCTCCAATTCCTCATTTCTTTCGATGAGTTCGTTGATTTTTCGGCGATTAAATTCAATTTCTTCGATGATATCTGCTAGTTCTTTAGCCTGTCGACTGGAGTACCCATTTTCGGATTCATCAGGCATTTACCTCGAAATGCAACGTCAAAATATATTTGTAAAAATATACAGCATTACGTACAAACGCTAAAAGAATCTCTGCAATGTCGATCTCACAAGATTATAGAAGTAAAACCTAAATCGAATCGTTACCGTAACCAAAGCAAGTCGTAAAGTTAAATGCGCTCCTCCGCAGTTACACACTGCACCATATTTCACGCCTAAAACCACAATTTCACGGGCATTTTGTTCGCGCAACCGACATGAGTTGCTGAAACTGAGATTTCAGATTTCCAAAATTTAGGTTCAGAAAGGAAATGATCGAATTGACGAGAAATTTGGGATTTAGATGTTTCCGAAGCTGCTCTATCCAAAATCAATAGTTCTTTTGCTCAAAAAATCATGAAACTGGGTTTTGAAAGTTTCAGAATATGAAGTCCAAAAGTCCAAGTTCGACCAATTTTCTACAATGAAGGTTGTGGTCTGAATAATAAATTTGTGGTAAAATCAAGTCATAACAGAACTGGAATTCCATTCGTACAAACTCGAAGCATTACTGATTATCTGCTCAGATCACCAGATGTATTGAGAGATAATAAAAAGTGGCAGCTTGTAACAGAAAAGAAAAATTGAGCCTCAATAGATAAGGCATATGCGAAAGTCTTGGCGTGATAACTGACTGAATGGCTCCACAACAGCGTATGGGTTACACCCTCTATAGGTATGGTTGCGGCTGTCTTGCCTAAAGCAAATGTTCATATCGTTGAAAATGCCAGAGGGAAAATCACTGATGAACTCACATTCGCAATTTTGTTTCTGACATTTTCCATATTGAAGTATATTATATATATCCATATCCATATTCTATTGAACTTTAGATTCGAATATTGTTTGAAAACCCAGTTTCATGATTTTTTGAGCAAAACAAATGGTGACTTTGGATAAAGCAGCTTCGGAAACATCTAAATCTCAATTTTTTCGTCAGTTCGATCATTTTCTTTACTGAACCTAAATTGTGGAAATTTGAAATCTCAGTTTCAGCAACTCATGTCGGTTGCGGGAACAAAATGCCCGTGAAGTCGTGGTTTTAGGCGTGAAATATGGTGCAGTGTGTAAATGCGGAGGCGCGCATTTAACTTTACGGCTTGCTTCGGCTACGGTAACGATTCGCTTTAGGTTTTACTTCTATAATCTTGTGTCGATCTCAACCCGAAATGATCGCTTCAGACGTGATTTGATGCGCCCTTGGTGTATCCACAGTCCTTCGAGTCTCATGGCGGGAAGTTGTGGAGTTTTGCCATTTCGCAGCGATTGTGTACTTGGCTGTTATTTCAACATTCCGGTTTTTGTCAATTTGGAAAACGGTACGATAGATAAATATTCTCTGAACTATGAGTAATCAGTCGCTGGTCGCTCGTGTTGCTACGGCTGCGACTAAACACTGAGAATCCTGGACGCGTCAGGAATCTGCACAATATCCGACCCTTCAAGCATCGCTCCGCCTGGACCTAGCTCTTCCATGAAGCGAACATTCACATGAATAATTGGCCTAAGCAGTTCGATGCTATTTCAGCTTGCTAACAACATTGACCCGTTAGTGCCGCAGTAGGTAGAATCTAGGGCGAATCTTCAAAGGGCGATTACCCTCCTGACCCATCGCAACAGTTGCTTGCCGTGGCAGATTCGGACCAAGACGTGTTTTCTTCGATCAGCAGTCCAAGGCTGATTTAATGCAATTCTGCAACCCGATATTGGTCGCTTTCTTCAGAGACAAGCAGAAAAAGAAGGAGAGGAAACAGCCCGGTCGGTTCGGAGTGGGTTTTTCTATCAGAATGGTAGATTATCTATGGAGGAATAGTTGTAGTATGAGTGCTATCCATCTGTTCAGAAGCTCGCTTCCTCCCGTATTCCCAGCCCTTTTAGAACGAGGCGTGGCTCGTGCTTCCGCCCGTCTTGCTTTCGAGTGACCCTCGTACAGCGAAGGACAGTTTCGTGCCTGCTTGCCTCATGCCACTCAGCAAGGTCGCTCAAGGACATGTGTTACAAATGCGGGAGATAAGAGCACTATTCACGCGAATGCTGGGAGGAACGCGAACCATGATGGTGAGTTTTTGGCTGGAGCTACACGTAGCTGCGTGGATTTCTGGATAAGTATGGGCCTTTTTCCGTTTATGGCAGACGTGATTCGCGAGGATATGCACCAGTATTTTTGTCAGAGCCAGGGTTGGCAATCGTGAGAGGTAATTGCAAGTCCGCGTTGCAGTAGTTAGAGCAGCTGTGGAGGAGAGCCTCACGATTAACCCTCTTTTAGTGGTGGAAGGGAAGAAGCTAGGGCTTATCGTAGACTTATCGGATTTTAACAAATATGTCGAGAAGACCAGAGTCAAATTTGAGAATGTCTCCAAAGTAATTCCTCTGTTACCGAAAGAAGTTTCATGGCCGCTTTGATCTTAAGTCGGGCTACCTCCATGTCTAGATGAATAAAACAAATTTTTTGGTTTTACTTGGAGGGGACATGGCGTATAAGTTCGTGGTACTCCCTTTCGAATTGTCTTCTGTTCCATGGTGTTCACCAAACTTTTGAGACTTTTGTTAGGAAAGAGGAGACCAGTCGGCTTAAACGTAGCATTATACCTCAACGATTGTCTCATATGGTTTGATCCCGCAGCGAGTACGAGGAAACGGCGAAGGTGGTCAGAGTTGATTTACGGAAGACCGGCTTCTCGACAGCCGAGGAGAAATGTTCCTGGATCTATCAGAGATTGACCTGAAGCCATGAGATTGGTCTGGCAGGCATGACTTCGAATGTCATGAGAGAGAGGAGTAAGAGAGCTAGGCTCTTAGCCAAGAAGGATTGTGAATGAAGGATCCATCCCTTTGGGACAGATTGCGAAGGCAAGGCACTTCGATGTCAATGCACTTGCTGATCTCTTGGAACTAAGAAATCGTTGGAAAGCCGTTGTGTCCGAATTAGCGGAGGAAGGGAGGGTGGGCACCGTGTTGTGTTTTAGATGGGCTTTCCACGAGAAGGCAGAAATCGAAGGATGGCTGAGATCCGACTTTTCAAGGGTGCACTTCTGCAGTAATGGAGTCGCGAATGCGCTCAAAGCATTTGCTTCGAAGTTTGGCGTAGGGGCAATTTTATATTTGTTTAGGACGGAGAAGTTGTCGGTGTCAGGCAACCTGCCTCCGGAATTGTTCATTCAGTACTACGAGGTACTATCAGCTTCGCGTGGCAGACGACATTCGCACAGGTAAGAATCTGTGGTGGCTGGAAGTTGAACGATCAAAAAAAGAGAACGAGCAACGCGAGGCACGAAGTTGCGTTCAGGTAACGGGGAACGCCCTCGTACTCTGGAGTATCTTCGCTAATCTTATGTCACTTAACCCGGATCACTTTCTTTTTAGCAGAAAACCAGGCGGCCCACTTTCTGCAAGAAACTTTATTACGCGCAGAATCACAAAATTCCTCCAAGAAGTCAACCTGCGGCGTCGCCAACTTACGGCGCATTCATTCAGCGGAGCAGCCATACGAGAGGAATTCCTCGAATGTCATGCGGTCAGAAAGATGGAGGACTGCAGAAGTCTTTGCCAGTAATATCGATCCCACTCCTATTTAATCGCAGCCTTTTCCATTTCCTACCGAATTTCGGTGCCTTCGATCGCAATGTATGTTATTCTTTTATTGCTAGCTGTCGCAACAGCATGAGATTCCCCGCAAAAGGTCATGTACCTCGATTTTGGTTCAAGTAGGATGAGCCAGTCTTGTTAAGTTAACGCGCTGCTCGCCCGCGAGATCTGCTCACTTATACTCCTCAGCATGTATATGGCTTATTCGCAGTTTCAGCACATGATCAATTCGCATGTATTTTATCTAATAGTCAGCTCAGTTGCAATTACGCAGTCACCCTAATTTCACGCGTATAAGACGCACCTTTTTTTTTGGTTTTCAAGCGTGCCGCTCAGCCTCCTCGTTGTGTTTCGGAATATGGAACTTATGCCGCACAATAATCCCAGGCAATATGCAGCACTGTAAATAGTTTTTTTGGTCGCGAAGTCCTTCGACGTGTCTGTGCTGTTTGATTTTAGAAAAAAATCGCCTTCGCCCTATACGCGTGAAATTAGGGTATTGGTTTTTGTTCGTCTATGATCAATGATCAGTTCGCTGACACATTATCCTGTATATAGATAATCCCCACATACATTGAAACCAGCAATTTTGCCATATAGAATTTTTTCTCTGCATATTGTGATTCACTAAGACGCAATCCTGCATATCAATAATCTCCACATATTAGAATCAAGGATTTTGTCACGGTCATCACTTCTCCGTTTGTTGTGAACTCCATGTTGCAGGCTTTCTTGGGTGATATTCTTCTTCTGTACTATTGCCCTGTACATTTCAGTCGCTGCAAAAAGGTAGCATTCTTGGTTTTAACTGTTTCGTGTGGTAACGTCGTTTCTCCTATCAGGTTGCTGATACGTGGTTGTCATGCTTTGTCATTAACTTGTCTGTATGCAGTTATACTCTGACATGGAACAAGTTATCTTGATGTTAGGATCTCAAATGCTATAGTTATGTTACAACTGAAGCTCAAGAGTTCGCATGTATCATTGACGGTAAATTTTCACCCCTTCCGCAGTGTTCATTGCGAGAGGGCACATAAGTTTTGTCATAATATACTGGAGGCAAAACCTACATGCTGTGACTTCCTTCCTAGAAAATCTTCAAAGTAGCCTCTAACTGACTTTTTTTGGAAGAAAATAAGATATATTTTATTTTGTGACTAGGAGACTTGAAACCGTTTTGCACACATTGTCTATACAATCTGAACTTGTGCGTTTCCTTTCCCAAGTTGCAAATGATCCCAGATTAAATGAATTCTAAGTACAGTCGATGGTAATCACGTGCTTTCTTTTCCGTAAGCGTAATAAACTGCGCGCCACGTTCGCGCGCTTGGCTCGGGCATTAAATGGGCCTCATCGATTGGAGGTCCGAACGCAGGCCCTTGCGTTACGCATGAGTGATTCCCACGCGAAAGGGAGTACGTAATCGAAAGTGACTATACAGACTTCTTTTGACAAAGTGTAAAAAACGTTTTTGAGCCTCTCAGCCACAAAATAAATGATATTGGCCGTCCGCGTTCTGCGCGGAATGCAATGCTATCGCGTCGGCGAGGACAGTTTATTGTGAGAGAGAGATCAGAGCAAAAAAAAGCGAGAGTGCACGAGGAAAGCGGAATCTGTCCGCCGCCAGCCCTATGACTTGCCCATGTTTTTCTTTCACGGAAGTTCTAGGTTGTCCGAAAAATAATGCTCGGTTTGCTACCTTAACTTCGAAGCCTCATAACCCAACTACAACACAAGCTATCTATATAAACAAAATATCATCAGAACCAACTCTTTGCCAACATGATAACAATTTGTTTATGCCAGTAGCATAAAAATCTGAGGACCTAGAGGCGATAATTCTAGAAAGGCGTTTTCGGCATCTTTCTTTTTCGTAAAAATTCTTTCCTGTAAGAAGTTGTCAAGATGCTCAAAAAATGATAATCTGTGGAGATAGGTCTGGTTAGTAAGCTGGATGAGGCAGAGTTTCTTCTAGCTCATTCACCGAGTTACAGGATTAAATTTTCAACATGCGGTCTGGCATTATAATGCAGAAGAACTGGCTCTCTCCTATTCACCAGACAGGACGAATCTCTTGAGTTCTTTCATGCACTCGTCGGGCTCCTTACGGTATTTTCTACAGTGATGGTTTTCTCTTGGGTCCAAGAAGTTATAGTGGTTGATACCGTCGACAGACTACCAAACACAGCATTAATTTTCTCAGATGCAACTTAAACTTGGAAAACGGCCTGGGTGGCTTATCCTTGTTCACCCACTGTGCAGGTTTTCTTCTATTATCGTATGAGATCCATTTCTCGTCCCAGGGTCACACTTCATCCAAGAAACAGATCATTTTTGTTGCACAAAATTAGTGCGGAGCAGATCTCACATCGGCGGTCCTCCTGGCTGAGACTCAGCTCATGCGGTTTCCTTCATACTTTTTTTTTCTCATATTGCCGATTTTGCTCAAAGGCAGTGGCTCGGCAGATCTCAATCTAGTCAAAATTTCGCTTATTTGGGGTTAATCAATGCACTGAGCTCAAAAATCCACTTTAGAGAGCTTGAAAACGGCGGAAACGTGCGTTTTTCAATGCCCTTCCCTGTGGAATTGGACGAGTGGAGCAAGACAAGACTGGTACGCTGAATCGTTGCGGGACCCAACGGTTATAGCACTGCGGCGGGCAGCCTTCAATGGTGAGAAGGTTGCCAACTCGTTCGGGCGCGTGTAAGATGGCTTGCGCGTGTAAGTCTGAAAGCAATTTTCTCGACAGGGAAGACATGCCGTGCTCGGGATTGCACCATTTTTATAATTGGAGAAATTAAGAAAATTAAGAAATCTGCCGCGTTAAAATCCTGAGTTGTTGAATTTTGCCGATCCACTGCCTTTAGATGCTCCGCAATTGTGCTACGACCAACATCTAAGTCCTCTGCAATTTCTCGCACCGTCAGGTGGGAAGCATCTTCCACCATGGTCTTCAACTGATCGTCATCAAGAAGAGAGGGTCGTTTATGACCTTCCTTACTCGAGATTCTTGTCACCATCCTCAATTTTCTGTACCAACGTCGTGCTGTCCATTCGCTAACATTCCCTTCGCCTTATAAGGTGTTGATGTTCTGGGCAGTTTTGGTTGCAGTGCGGCCGAGGTAGGATTTGATAATAGTAAATCAGTCGAAGGCTTGTCTCGACATCTTTATTCGACTCAAATTTTCAGGAAGGGACCATTTGTTTGTTCGGAGAAAGAGATAATAAGCGGCAAATCTCCGGCTTCAAAATGGTTTGTAAATTGTTAGCATTCTGCATTAAAAAATAACTTAACAAAAAGTGGAGAGGAAAAACGGGTATCAATTTCCGAATAACCTAATAAGTCCAGAGCTATCTTCTTTCTTGGAAGGTATCGGATGAGGTGCGAAATTCTTAGTTTGAAACCTTAGTTTACTTTTTTTTTGTGACGCGCCACTCTCTGCACAACTGTTTACTGGAAGCTGATGGCAATTCAAAAGTCTTTTTCAAACCAACAAAATCTTGTTTACAAAGATTGTTCTTTTCAAAACCAACAGCGATATAAACTCATTGGATTGTCGACATCGCCGCACCGCCATAACGTTTTTGTCAACTTTCAACGTCACTCTCTTACTTCATTTGTGTACTGGAGATTGGAGCCTTTTACACCTAACAAGTAAAGGAATTAGTCGAAGTGGCTTTCCAAGAGAAAATGTATACTGCTTCAAAATTATGAAACGCCGAATTAAAAATCCAACTTTCTTATCTGCTGCATTTTTCTGAGCAAAGGTTTGAGAAGGTTTTGTAGGCAAAACTCTAAAAGCTTGATGACGTAAAAAAAGTCGTTGACTCTTAATAGCGTTCAAATAAAGCAACGTTGAGTGGATATGTTTGAAATAAGAATATTTATTGCCCACAGTAAACTGACAATCATTTAAGCCCTAGGAAGGACATTATGACAGATTTTATTCTGGATGCACATTCATATTTTTCCTCATAAAATCCTTGCTTGAAAAACTCGCAACAGATAAGAAAGGTAGATCTGGAAGCGTTTTACACCCTCAAAATGGTATTTACCTTATATTAAAAGGCGGCAATTTTCTTTTTTTTTGTTGGAAACCTCTTTGAAAACTTTAAAATTCTGTTGTTTATCTATTTGATTTTGTGTCGATTGACAATCTCAACGCAATGTCGAGCCGGATCAGCCGCATCACCGTAACTAGGCTCAGAGTTTTTCTGGTTCAGTTGAATATTTTCAGCATTTTTTATCATGGTCTGCTCAAGCTCTATTACTTTTTCATACAATCAGGCAAGATGGTCGGCGATTGAATGCCATGTCGCGTCGAGAAAGCCAACTTGATGTTTTTTCTCGTGCTCTATCAATTTTTGATGTTGATATTTGGAACAAGCGAGTCCCAAGCTTATCGCTTCGCAAATAGCAAAAGCGGATTTGAATCAGCGGATCAGCGCCCTTGCTTAAAAGTGTACATTTCATATGGAAACGGCACGACCAAGTACCCTTTCCTTGCCAGAGGTTGGCTACTGAGCTCAGGGAAAAAAGAATTGTAAATAAAGTCATTTGAGGTCTGGTTATCGCGAACTCAAACGAGAAATGCATCAAAGCCGCTTCGGAGATTTATCAATGCCAAAGAGTCGAAACCGTCTGATCTGCGAAACGTTGCGCAGTGGGTAATTTGACATGGTAAACACAAATACCAGAACAATTGTTGTCAAGGTTAAAATTAGTCCACTTTCTTAACTCAACTTTTTCGCAGCATGAGGCTTCTACACAAAATGTGTATCATTTTCGTAATCAGGTATGCCGTATAATCCTCAGACCAAGTTTTATCCAAATTTGTGGCAACTCCGTTTTCTTTCCCAATTAAAAATTGCCTTATTGCAAGTCTCATATGCGAGATGGAATTCGGCAAAGACGACTGCATTCCTTGCAGACATGATAATCATCATAATACCAAAAAATGGAAGCGCCATATTTAAAAAGGCAAAAGTTATAAGAAAAAGTTGCAAAACTTATGTGTCACACCTAATACAATACTTTTGAATAGTACTTTGCTCTACCCTCTTCCGGTGCTTCGGTCAGCCAGCGAGTTGTTGGAGAGGGAGCGAGGTCTCGGTGACGGTGCCACTGGCTGCCCCCCCCTCCCCACGCCAGTACATCCGATCTGGCGGGGCTGCCAATGTAACTGTTTTGCCGAGGTTCCGTCCTTCCCGCTACTTAAATTTGCTGGGTTGGCGTACGAGGGGTAGGAGCGAACAATATTATGGATTATGTTGTTCGCTATCGCCGCCTTTCATGGCGATACAGACAACAATAAAATGTCTCTATTCTCCCAAAAAGTAGGTGTGGCCAGACCTGGTCAACTAAATCATTACTGGTGTATAGAATCAATTCTTTGATTTTTTTTCCTTCTTCGTTGTCGTTTAGTTAACTCCGACTCACTCTGGGGCGTTGATGATTGTATTACAGCAACGCCTTCAGGCATGAGCAAATAAAATAAAATATACTCACGCTCAGCGTATACGTATACGTATATTTTATTTTATTTAATGCAACGTATAATAAAATATACTCACGTTCAGCGTATACGTACTTTCGGGAAAGTGTATATCTTAACACATGTCACATGGTAATACATGAGTGGAAAGAAACGTAACTCTTTGCCCACACATCAAAGATTGTCTGATTGGGTCAACAATCATAACTTCGGCTCATAGCAGGATGCAGCATGGAAGCTCCGAAGTACGAATTGAGTTAAGTTACTAATTCACGAGCATATGCTAGCGTGCAACATTTTGGAGCATTCTAGACCCTAAAAAGTCTAAAAATGAACCGCGAGAGCTTCGCAATCGCTAAACCACCTGCGATATATTAATAGAAGATTAGCTCACAGTGGCAGAACGAGGACATGCAGAGGTACAAATCCTCGTGCAATGGAGAGTGCACACCCAATCATGACGTCTAAGGTATTTGCCGTCCGTTATTTTCGGCTCATGCTGTTTACTGATCGCACATTAGTTTGAGAGCATTGTTGGCGTCTAAAAGAATGTACCAATACAATAGACTAAGGCTCTGAGAAAGACGGTGGAGGCGAAACATGGACTTTTGTTGAATAATAATAACATCTCGACTGCTGCTCAAAAAGACGTCGCGAAGACTTCATTATCACATATCCTCTACTTGCAAAGCAATTATGTAAAAACTAAATGCTTACCACATCCCCATTCAAAAGCTATTTCTTGCCAGGTTCAAACGACAACGGCTTCATAATTGGACATGAATTGACAATGTAGCCGCTCGTTCCAGCCTTCATCAATTATTCTTTTTAAACTCTGCATTGCTGTCGAGGACACTCCCATTATCAAGTCAGAGTTGCATTTTACGAGATGTTTTACCAGCTCATTTAGGGGAATATTTTGTGTTGAGCACTCGTCCTTCATTTTTTTCGAAATGTCATGTCATTTTTTTCGCTTACAAACCTTGATTTCTCTTGAAATATCGCTTTTGTTTCCCTCACTTGCAATTTATAGGCTGGGTGGCTTGCTTCATCTTTCTGCGAACTGGAAACTGCGGATCTACGTTCCTTCCATAAGGTTCTCATTATAGCTTGATCAAAGCTAATCTAAATAGTTTTGCGAAAACCAGTTGCAAATCTTGGTTGTGCATGTGAACAGCTGCTCATGGTGAGTTGCTGGCTTGGTGAAGAGTGTAACAATTGAAAAATCGTTCTTATATGATTATTAACGCAGCGTAATTGGCGATAGTGTATGACAATAGTATCCATTATGTTGCATACTATGAAATTATGTTATTCATCAATGGGCGAAATGTAATTTATGTGAGTGCAGTGCCGCATGTGAAAGTTCTAAAATGAATACCGTCATGAAATTACAGATATAACGAATAATGGTGTTTCTCCATTTGCCTCTGTTTTTATGTCTAATTGAGCTATGAAACAAAATAATTCTTAGTGTCAAAGTGTACAATTGGAAAGAGAGACTATGATGGACTTGTTCCAATTTTGCTTGGTCATATCACTGGGAAAGATTACTTAGACTAAAATGACCTTCGGCAGGACTAGACTTACGGTTTGCTTGCATCTCTCACTCACATCGGATCGATGTTGAGGACCAATCATGAGAACTGCAACTATGCAAAAGTGCTGCTGCAATACTTACGAAACCGTCGATTTTTGACTGTAGACAGTGTGTCAGACAATGTCAATCAGCAACACTGACAACAACTTTGATTGAAAAGCGCAATCTTAGTTGGTCACTGCTATATGCAAATCCAGTTTACACTCTCAAGTGGTTTCACCAAAATATACAGGATCTAGAATTGGATTGCATGGCGAATTGAATGGCTAGAAGAACATTACTCCAAGCTGAGTCTGGAAGGGCCTTAGAAAGGCAAGTTATACTTTATGAGCTATCAATCATATAGAGCCGGATTTAGAAGGATCATTCTGCGTTGATTGAACGAGTTGCAGAATCATGCTGCTAGCGAAAGTCTCCATGGTAGCCGATATCTATGCTACATTTGGCTAGTATGATAAAGATGATGGTCATCTACGCTTAGCTCTCTGATTTGGATACCTTGGATGTTGTCCGACAAAAAAGTCAAAGCCGCTTGTGACGAAGCAAAACCTCCATAGTTCGACGCCCCATCTTTCCGCTATTAAATGTGCTTGGAGGACGACTTGGCGTTGCAGACCAAGATGACTCGTCTGCTGATAACGTTGGTTACATGGATCTGCGCACTGCTCACTGTTGGCTGCCTGTATTTTCTAGCGGTGATTGTGCACGATATTAATTCCATCTACGACGATGTCATTCGTGATGTACAGGAGTTCCAGGTGATTTTTGCCAACACCATATATCAGATTTTTCAAACAAATAGTTCAGGATTTTGCAAACGTGGCTTGGAACGTAATCATGGACGATGTGCAGCATTCACATAATGTGAAGCGGGAAAGCAAGACTAAATCGAAAACACCTAAGCAAGTGTTATCAGTAGTAGGAGCAGACGAAGAGTGCCCGCCAGGTCCTAAAGGGCCACCAGGATTACCTGGACCGCCAGGTGAGCACGGCGAAGACGGTCAGAAAGGATTTCCAGGCCCCTCCGCAATTACGTCGTCATGCACGTACTGGAAACCAGCACACTGCGTGCAATGTCCCGTTGGTCCTGCAGGACCTCGTGGTCCAAACGGACCAAGAGGACGACCAGGCATTGCTGGCCAAAGAGGAGTGCCAGGTGTTGCTGGACAACACGGGCGGTACGGGCCCATAGGAATGCAAGGTGATCCTGGCATGCCTGGTCTTGACGGTCAACCAGGTTGGGCTGGTGCTGCTGGTTCTAACGCATATAGCGGTCGAGGAAAACGTGGACCAGTTGGAATACAAGGAAACGAAGGACCGTTTGGCAACGAAGGACAACAAGGCATCATGGGCTATCCTGGTGAAGAAGGGCCTTACGGAGTACAAGGCGAAAGTGGACGCATGGGAGAACAAGGTCCTGAAGGACTTAGAGGTCCTCCTGGTCCGCCTGGTAATCCTGGGCCTGACGGAGTGTACTGTCGGTGTCCACCTAGGACTTACGATCGTGTTCGCGTCAAAAGTGTCATATTTGATTTTGATAAGGTATTGAAGAGTTAAGTGAGTATCGACTGGCAAAACAACAATCATTGTAAATATATAAGTAGCGTCACGTATCCGCGCAGAACTTTTATGGTTTTACGTGTTGTAAATATCTCTCTGATTAAGTAATAAAATTGTTTGATAAAGACTAATCTCTCAAGTTTTATTTATCTCAAGTTTGCGCTATGAGTACAACTTAAAACTGAAACTAAAATTTTGCAAATTTGTAGATGAAAAACATTAACGCATGGAAATTCTTAGATTTGTAACACTTAGATAAAGGTAATGATTGCATCCGGTCGTTCTCTCAAGATTTTGCGAAATATCTTTTTATTTGAGGCTAGCTGATTTAACTCGGCTTCGCCCTGTCAAGACATTGGCCCGTAATAAACCCCCCTTCAGGGGATCTGCCCTGAAACGGACCTGAGTTGATCGTGGCGCCTTGGTCTAGCATCCCGCGATATTGATCTAGATGCGGATCGCTTTTCAGGCATAAATATCTTGCGCGCTATCAAAGATGAAACACCTACACCCCTTGTGCAGGTTTGGTCAAACAGGTATGTGACTGGTACTCAGCCCGCATGACCGTGGTTCGGCGCCGGATAGTGGCGAATTTTTGCGCATCACTGAGCAATCTTTGATAGCGGCCACTATCGAAGAAAATCAATGACGGCCGCTATCAAGGAGAATCCACAAACCAAATGAATGCACAAGACAACAACTGCTTTTTTTTCAACCAAAATTTCTTCAAAAATTGAGGAAGTAGGGACAAAATCGAATGGAAATAAATAAAGAGATTGTCGTTCTGAGTAGCTTTTGTAGAGAAAACCTAAGCAAACTCTGCAAAAAGGAAAAAACCTATTCTTCTGTTTTTTTTGCTGAAATCAGCTGTTCATTGATCCTTTCCTATTCGGGCGCGGTTGTGCAGTTTTGCGCCGATTTTGTCTGCAATATTATGTAAGTGTCCCGTAAGTTACTCACGAGCAACTTACGGGACTTTTCTCTGCGTTTCATCCCTTGCACACTATTTCGGTCAATTCATTTCAAAATCGAGGCTGCTCTTAGGGATTTCAGGTGAATTCATCGCGGCACATGCCCTGATGCTAACCCTTTAGATCAGGTCGCATTCTTAAACATGTGAGAGTGACCGCTAATCAGTTTATCTTAAACACCTCAACTCAGCCCCTCAGTTGAGATCATCTGAAGTGAAGTGGGGTTTACTACGAGCCACTATGATAGAAGTCCCATCCCTTTCCCTGCACTATCTTTCCCTATGCCCACTTCTTCATGCAATTTCTATTCTCGCTGTGTTAGTAATTAATCAGCATGCTCACTTACTCTTTCTGGCAACTCCGAGCGTCGTAGCTCGAACTTTACAAAAAATCGATGAAGTCGATAAATATAAGGGATAATTTTGAAAATTGAAATCGTATTCGTAACCAGCATGCTCGATTACCCTGTGCTAACTCCCAGCCCCATAGCTTAACTTTGCAAGAAAATCGATCAAATCGATGAAAGCAACGGATAATTTCCAAGGCTAATATTGCATCGGTACAGTAAGTTTCAGCTCAGTTTAGGCGGAAATTGGACTGGCGGGAGTCCGCTTCGCAAGATTCGCGCCGCTTTGCAATCTGAGTCCCTTCATTCTAATTTTCTCGCTGAGCCAGCGGCAGTGCGGACGTGCTGCTCCACTTGGGATGTCTTGCCTACTCCGCCTTTAAAAAAGCTGTAATCAGACTGCTCGATTCCTCCTGTGCCAACTTCCAACACCGTAGCTTAAAAATTGCAAAAAATCGATAAAATCGGTATCGATCGATAACGAAAAGCAGCCTACCACCCGCTCCGCCCGAAGGGTATGTGTGCGAAGTTCAGTCCGGATCGATTTTCTATTTGGAACATACGTACAGACAGACAAACAGAGATTCGTCTTTATATATAAGATTGTAGCATAAACTGCGCGCACCATCAAGCGACAAACTTATTAATGAAAGCCCCTGTGGATAACGGCACAAGGGTAAAATGAAATTAGATAAAGATTATTGGCAAATTCGTGTTTACACATTCGAATGAAGATTTGATGCTCGCTGGGTAAGTATCCTAACCCGTTCTCAAAAGAAATTCGTTTGAATTTTTATGAAAATTAACAAAGCATTTTTTTGTTGTCTTTGAACCTTAAAACGTAGCACTTTTTTTGCTAGACAGTTGCAGAGAATTACTTAGCCGTGCAGATTTTATTGCTAACGTCTAGATAAGACATCTCTTCTTTCAAGATTGAAAGGAGTAAACCAATGCTGTCCTTGTTAACGCTAAACATCCCTTTTCACTTGCACAAACACTTCGCTTCTTGTTTGAAGCTTGGATAAGGTTTGATTACTGAGTATGTCATTGGTGCAGACGCGCCTGAATGCTCGGCGTGCTCGGTCCAGTGCTTGTTAGAAGTGACTAAAATCACATTATGTGACTGTTTTAATATCTGTCCACAAGCACAGGACACCAAGCCACTTATGGCACTACATCACTGATAACTAATATATTAGGTTGGTGCAAAACTAATGCCTGGCTAATAGATCGCTAATATTAGAAGTGACGTTTCTCAAGAACTAAACCAGTTACCAAGCTGGCTTTTCAAAACTTTGCTTCCGAAGCCTTGTGCTTCACAATTTTTGAACGGGAAGGAGCTTTACACAAGTTTTCCAACCTTTGGTTATTGTTTGTTCTAAGCTTTAAGCGGCAAAAAATGGCAGCAATGGGTTTGCTATGTGTCAACTATGTGATGACCACTAGAGAGCTCGTAGGACTTTTCCGGGCGAAAGTCGATTTTTGACCTGTCCAACTGCTCACAGATTTTAGCTTTAGACTAAATATGGAGTAGCGATTTAGGTAGATTTGATGGTCACTTCGCAGTGCTTGTTTCATTTTAGGCCCCGGACAGACTTCACGCGATTTGATCGTCGCGACTTAATCGCTGACACTTCCATTCATTTTCATTTCACATTCAAAAATTTCGGGCTGGAAAAGTATCACAACCGAAATGCAAGTCGATCGGCATGGAATGACGTTGTAACAGTTGTCTCGTCGCGATTCAGTCGCGACGATCAAATCGCGTGAAGTCTGTCCGGGGCCTTACGGATTGGTATCCTCGTATAATTTTATATTCACATAAATTGATAGCACAGGCTATGGACATTTTCTGCATCTTGCATCAACCTGATATATCCATTTTTCTATTAAGTTCCTGAGTCGCTTGTACGAATAAAACTTTTCTGTTGCCTTTTATGCTGTGAGCGATGTGCGTAAATTATAAATGTGAAAACGTTATGCTTTTGTCATTATCGATAGGTTCCTCTCATGCTTTCCTACTCAGATAATCGCCGGGGGCAGGCGGGCACCGGAAAAATAGTTTGCTGATCTCTCGCACCCCGCTCGCGCATTTTTTGCAAAGCAACCAGGACTTTTCGGAAGACCGCTTGCTGAATTCTCGATTTCTCAAAGATTCAGCAATATATCTGCAAAAGATAAGCGCGAAAAAAATTCAGCAGGCGGTCTCTCAAAAATCCGCTGACTTAGCGAGCGGTCTTCCGAAAAGTCCCGATTGCTTTGCAAAAAATCCACGAGCGGGGTGCGAGAAATCAGCAATCTATTTTTCCGGTGCCCGCCTGCCCCCAGCAATTGTCTGAGTAGTGGGCTCATCAAACTGTATCTTTTACTGCTAGCTAGTTGCGAGTTCACACGCATATAGTGATCGACTACTCCCACCCGTGCAGATAGCAGAGCATCTCGTTTACTGGACATCATGTCTGGTGATTGGCACTAGACATGATGCAAAGGAATTTTCGGGATTATTGTTCGGACTTGAACCTGTAGAGAATTATATAGGATTGAGAAGGATTGTAATTCGCAAAAATTCATCAATTCATCCATTTCCAAAAATGACTATTGAAACGAAAGCATATTTTGATTTTTGTGTCAAATTTTGATTTTTGTGCCAAATAAGACTAATACGTCAATAATAAGATCGTACAGTTTGTAATGTGCAATGAAACAACCTGCTAGAAGTTCCTGGTACTCCTACAATGATAGACACGATGGAAGATTCATTGCATATTGTGGTTCCAACAATAAGTTAGAGTCAGCCCTACAATTTCCTCTCCACAGGTCCGCGAAAACTGTTGTGAAGCGCGAATAAAATTCAAAACCAAAAGTGCAAGTCACTAGCCATCGGCGGGAGGCGGAGCTTTAGAGAGTTGGAGTTGGAATGACTCCGCTCTGGAGAGCGGTCTCCTCTCCCCTGTGGCTGCGCGCTTCATGTCTGGACCCCTCTCGTGAGCGATTGTTGTTTCAATTTATGTACTCTACTGTTGTGGTGCTTGGATATGTTTAATTACGCAATTGCTTGGCAAGTTTTCATGATCTCTTTTCAAAGTGTTAAAGTGCTTTATATGTTTACCAGTGCGTCACCTCTGCTTCGCAGAGGCTCGCACTGGCTCTACTATCTAGGCCCTACTCATTCTCGCATAATGATGGCATTGGAGCTCACCGAGCAGTGCCAACTATCACGAACAAAATGTAAACAATTACTCATTCCAAAAGCTTTTTTAGGTAAAATCGGTGATTTCGCGTTGATGAGATGGATGAGACTTTTTGCAAGATAACAAACGCAAATTATAGAGGTTTTGGATTTTCCCATGGTCTTGACGGTTGCAATTAAAACAGCAGTCACCGTGAGCTACATCTTCGCGCACAAATCTCGCCAAATGCTCTGGTGAAATCTTAGCAAATTGACCATTTACGCAACCAATACCTTTTGGCGCCGTTTTTGTAAAGTGATGGGCTTTTGATCACTTTTTTAGGCCTAAGATCATGGCATGCACATTTACTTGGCATAAACAACCGTGACTCTGCAAAAAGTGGAATTACGGACCCAATTTTGGGGCCCAAATGTAAAGTGGATCCGTTTGATGCGCAGTTTCTGAGGGATCCACTCAACGAATCTGCTCGTGCTTTTGCGCGTTGGACTT